AACTTTGCAATATTAGAAATTCTCTTAAATAAGAGTACAAAGTACTAGTACATACGTTTTGAAATTTGAAAAAAACTTTAGTACTAGTACAACATATGATCCTCATATTTTAATTCCTCAAATATGAGTAAAATTTGAAATAAACTGCCGTGTTTAAACATGACAGATATTACTCTTATTTAATGAATAAAAATATGACAGTCCTAGTTTAGAATTTTAATTTTTTTACTCCTATTTAAGGAATTTTCTCTTGCAATATAATAGGGAAATTCCTGAAATACGAGTAAAAAAGATTGAAAATCCGAAAATAGAATTTTCATATTTTTATTTCTTAAATAGGACTATTTATTGCCAAACTTGGAAAATATTGCCAAATTTAAAATTTGATACTGCCAAAACATAGCAATAATTACTCATATTTAGGGAATAAAAACATAAAAATCTTATTTTGGAATACACAAGTTTTTAGTCATATTTAGAGCAACTTCCCAATATATATAATACCTAGTATTACCACTTAACGTGAATCTTTTACTAATACTCGCTCAAATGAGTAAAATTATAAAGATTCTCATCAATGATTTAGAGACCGTTAGGTGACACAGTTTTTCGGCTTATCAGCCAACTTTTTCACCAAACATATAACATTTGTTTTCGCGCGCTGAATTGTGTAATGATAAGAAAAAGTAAGGTTGAGGTTACTTTTTTGCTGTATTGGCTGGATTTACTGCAGATGATCATTTTAGCTATTTTAGATATAATTTTTCATTATTTTATTAATAAATATATTTTAAAATAATTGGTTCTTAAATCAGTCAATACTGCCACTTCAGCTAGAAATTCATAAATTTCAGCAGAATCAGCCAAACCAACCGATTTTGATATTACCAAACGAGCTCTTAGTATGAATGGTATTTCTTTTTGCTTAATTATCATATTCCACGTTCTTGTTGTAAAAGTTAACAACTTTTGTTCTTGGCTTCCCTTTCTTAGCTTCTTACGGCGTTATACTAAAAGAAATTAGGAAAGTATAAATTAATACTGCAGACCATTCTTTATATAGAACTAAAACATAAAAAAATGCACATACATGATTATTGTTTTCTTGGCAAAATACGATTTATTCACTCATAATAGGGGAAGTTTATACTTTTAATAGGATCAAATGAATCATATCCCAAAAATAAAATACACGTAGTCCTATTTGTGCATTTTGCGTAAGTTTTAGCGTACTATTTAGAGTAATTTCTAATAAAAATTAACTTTTGCTCGTTCTACTTAACCTTTTCTCCAACACGCATAAGTAGAGGATCGGATAGGGATATTATTTGAAATAAACCCTTTTATGCTAGCTGCATCAAGCGATATTATTAATTTAAAGTTTTATTTAGTTGCACAGAAAGTTACTTATTCTAGATTATTTTCAGAACTACTACCTCTGTCGCTAAATAAATTTTCAATTGCGGGTTACGAATTAGTTTGATTAGCGATAAAGTTAAATGATTCATGTAAACATTCGGATAATTTTTAGTAAATAAAATTTACATATTTAGAAACTACATTATAAAACTGCTACAAAGCCTGCAAAAATAATTACATTTTCATAAAATTTTGATATACTTCGTATAAAGTAAGAGTTTAAGAGTGATTTAAGTTGACTAAATGAAATGAAAGTTTTTTTTAGGGAGGAGAGAGTGTGTTTCTCGACATATGATTACGTTTCTTATTTATAATATCAGTATTATGATGGCATTTATATATGCATTCCCTCTCTCCTTAAAAAAATATGCATTCCCTCTAGCTCATGTTTTATTTTTCTTATGATTTTCATGTGTCGCGTTATTGAAAATTGAAATAATTGTATTTCGTCATATTTTGGAAACATTAGTCCTATATACATGTCATCATTTTACGTACCCTTGGTTTAATTACGTACTCAGTAAAAGATCAGAGGGAAATTAAACATGAGTAATTTAAAAAAAGATGAGAGGGAAGGAAAAGATTGAGAAGAAGCAGTAGATGGATGCATGCATACACTAATTCGTACGTAGGAAATTAAACGCTTACAAGAAAAAGCAATAAAGCTTAATCAATGTAGGCCCGGACAAACATAGTCTAATTAATTATTGATCAAATGAAACTCTAATTAATTTATTTGAGCCGTACGTAGTAGTAGTGACGTGGCAGGCACGAGGAAGCACGCCGCATGCATGCACCGGAGGAGAGGGTGGCCGGAGTTAGTTAGCGGCGGCGGTGACCATGTCCAAGAAAGAAGCGCCGATGGAGTCGGCAATGCACCAGCCGTGCTGGATGTGGGGGTTGGGGTAGCGAGCGCAGTGGTTGCCGCTGCCCTTGCGGAGGCAGTCGGCGTCGGCCTGGCAGAGGTTGGGGTGCTCCTCGATCCTCTTGGCGTACGCCGGCATGGCGTTGGGGTGGATGCACTGCCCGGCGAACAGCGCCCACGGGACGCACCGGCAGTCCACCGAGTTGGCGCACGGCGGCATCTCGAACGGCGAGCAAACTGAATGCCCGTTGCATTCCGCCGCGCCCTTCCCCGCCAACATCACTGCCAAAACAAAAACATGCAATTGATTAATTAAACTGCATGAATAATAACATAGTTTATTAGTTGCATATATATACATAAACGCTAGCTACGTACAGGCAGATGCGAGGAAGAAGATAGCGAAAGGAGCAAACTGCTTAGAAGCCATTATCCTTCGTATTACTTGCTTTTGATGAGTTGTTTATTACGCACTCACTACTCACTCTTTGCGTGCTTCATCCGCTTAATTCAGCTCGCTATTTATAGGCCGGTCACTTCAATGCACGCGCGCGTAAACGTGGCGCGTAATGGATCGGCTTCACGAGAATTCAATTTGATCGTAAAGAGATGGGAATCTTTTCACTGCTCTTAATTCATCTTCTTCGATGGGTCCAATCATGCATGTTACGTGGCTCCAGCTAACTCATCGGGTCCACATTCAACAAAATATTGGACCACTACTACCCTCAATCGCATATCTTTTCTGTTCCACATCGTATGTACGTTAAAATCCTTGTTCCATGACTCCACTGAGGCTACTAACTACAACCATTCAATCCATATGTTAGGCTAATACCCCTCCAATAAATCTAATCCTTCACTAGTCGGATTGAGCAGAGTGCCTAGCTCAAATGGATGACACAAATCGAAAAGCAGGCCTTGAGATTCGTGCAAAAAATGGGACCCTTAATCTTCAACCCTTAATTTTTTGATCTGATGAATGAAAACAGCCAGGCACCCTCCTTGGCTGCTTAACCAAGGCAAAGACGCCGGATCCTCACTAGTCTACGTATTTTGTATATGAAATGCATGAATCCTACTCCCTCCATCCCCCTAAGTTTGTCCCGTTTTACCTTTTTGGTCCGTTCCACTAAGTTTGTCCCATACCATATTTGGTAACATTTGAGTGGTTAGAATTCATTCTTACTTTATTTACACTTTATCAATTCAATACCAACCACACAATTCCACTTTTTCTTAAAAACCACACCACACCCCTCCGTCCCAAACTTAAGGGGACGGGAGGAGTACTTTTTATTACACATCATTTATGTGATAATTTTAATTTTATCGATAATTATGATTTAAAAAGTCAAACATTTCGGTTTAAAAATAAATAAATTCGGAGTTTATTTTTTTATTACTCCAGATCTATTTTTTAAAAAATTAACTGATATATGTACGAAAAAAAGTATTTTAACAATGAAATCATAATTTTAGTACTTGAATTTACATTGAAAAAATTTAAACCTAAAAATCTCTAGCTGATAAAATTTTATACGGTATTATATTCTTTTTAACTTATATATATATATGATATTGATGTCATATGAAAGATTATAAAAAATCAAGAATTTTGATATATTATTTAAAAAAATTAGAAGAAATCATATATTTGATGTATGAACTGCTCAGTTAACTTCAAGAAATTATTTGAATGCCTTTCCAATTGAATTTTTAGCTGAAATATGGTATGGATAAACTAGCCTTCATGAAGAACATGCTCCAAAAAATTCATCAAAACATTCCACCGGGAAGTGCCCGAAATGCCCTCGGCCGGACGAAGCATCCCGTCAGGTCCGCCTGACATGAAAAGTCCTCTCTCTCTCTCTCTCTCTCTCTCTCTCTCTCTCTCTCTCTCTCTCTCTATATATATATATATATATATATATATATATATATATATATATATATATATATATATATATATATATATATATATATATATATATATATATATATATATATATATATATATATATACAGAAAAGATTAGGTCCCTCCGGAGGGACGGGAGGGACCGTCCGAACTTTACTGTTTGGGGCGGTTCCCGGTAGAATTTTTTGATGAATTTTTTTGAGCATGTTCCTCATCAAGTTTAGTTTGTCCATACCAAATTTCAGCTCAAAATTCGACCGGGAAGACAGTCAAATAAATTCTTGAAGCTTACTGCACATTCTGCGCATATATAAAGTGCAGTAAGTTTCAAGAATTTATTTGACTGCCTTCCCGGTCGAATTTTGAGCTGAAATTTGGTATGGACAAACTAGACTTGATGAGGAACATGCTCAAAAAATTTCATCAAAAAATTCCACCGGGAACCGCTCCAAACAGTAAAGTTCGAACGGTCCCTCCCGTCCCTCCGGAGGGACCTGAGCAGTCCTCTATATATATGTGTGTGTGTGTGTGTGTGTGTGTGTATGTATGTGTGTGTGTGTATATATATATATATATATATATATATATATATATATATATAGAGAGAGAGAGAGAGAGAGAGAGAGAGAGAGAGAGAGAGAGAGAGAGAGAGAGAGAGAGAGAGAGAGAGAGAGAGAGAGAGAGAGAGAGAGAGAGAGAGATGAGTCTTCTTGTCAGGCCGGCCTGACGTGTCACGCCCCAGACCGCGTCTGTGCCACGTGGACAACCGTCGTACAACCCAATAAGAATAACTGCAGTTCATCCTTACCGAATTGCACAAGACGTCCGATAGATACATATGCCAAAACCGATTAGTAAACATACATAACAACATCAACATACAATCAAACACATAGCGGAATATAAGGGTTTAATAAGAACCCACACAAGGGTAAAACAAGAGCTCGCAGGCTCCATTAATTTATAAGTCAAAATAGTTCCATGAGCATTATTTAATTATTTAAAAAATGGAACGAGAGGAAGCACGAACCACGTCTTCTCTCCATCGATCTCCCGAGCAACGGGTGCAGGAAGTAAGCTCTAGCTTCAACCTGAAAGGGTGGTTCCCCCGAGGGATCAGTACTACAGAAAAGTACTGGTGAGGGCAAACTGTATGTAATGTAACTAACGTTTCTCACGTGAGACCCTCAAAATAGGGTGATAGTATAATTATGGGCATAACTCTTAGCTACCCCTTTTCAAAACAAAATGTATACATATATACATATGAGTAAAATATCCGGCCCGTGGGCCCATTTGTCTTTCAAATCATTTAGGCATAATAGCCTCATTAAATTCACCCTTCCCATGTCTTACCCTCAAGTGGAGTCACCCGCAGGCTGACTCACCCGATATTAAAATATATCTTCTTGTGGGGGCCCTTCAGACTCCCATATCATTGACATGGTTTAAATCAATCCCTAGACCAAGGAAAATATCCTATCGGAAACTCGTTCCCGATCAAGCACGTTTAATCATTTAAAATCATTACCTTGAGGTTCACCTACCTCGAGGACTATCCGTCCTTACTATCATAGTTTACATTCCCGGGGCTAACCCCGCCTTGAGGAGTACGCATACACCCTCATCCTATGTGTAATTTGCTGGAGGTTATCACACCTCAAGGACTACACGGGCCCTTGTTACCTATGTGCAATTTGATGGAGGATACCACACCTCAAGGACTGCACTTGCCCTTGTTACCTATGTGTAATTTGCTGGAGGATACCACACCTCAAGGACTACACGGGCCCTTGTTACCTATATGCAATTTGATGGAGGATACCACACCTCAAGGACTGCATTTGCCCTTGTTACCTATGTGTAATTTGCTGGAGGATACCACACCTCAAGGACTACACGGGCCCTTGTTACCTATATGCAATTTGATGGAGGATACCACACCTCAAGGACTGCATTTGCCCTTGTTACCTATGTGTAATTTGCTGGAGGATACCACACCTCAAGGACTACACGGGCCCTTGTTACCTATATGCAATTTGATGGAGGATACCACACCTCAAGGACTGCATTTGCCCTTGTTAACTATGTGTAATTTGCTGGAGGTTAACACACCTCAAGGACTACACGGGCCCTTGTTAACATTTGAGTATAGAGGACTCCTCCTGGTCCTACAGAGTTTTACCCAACCTTACTCGGTCCCGGGTATTCACCCGCCATGTATAATCTACCACTTACCTCGCCCGGTCGTGGTCTATAATTTCTTTACTAACGACTAGTCCAAGTCTTAGCGTTTAAACCGTATTTGAAGCCTTAGCAACCAATGTGGACGGGTCCCACCCGATCGGCCCACATAAACTCACTCAAAAACTGCATATTGGGTGTATAACCCAATACCCGGTCGGGTATTACCCATACCCGGTCGGGTATGGTGAGGCAGTAGCCCCTGGAACCATTTCTAATTAATACCCGGTCGGGTATTTACCCATACCCGGTCGGGTATGGTGAGGCAGTAGCCTCTGGAACTGATTTTAGCTAATACCCGGTCGGGTATTTACTTATACCCGGTCGGGTATAGCCTTTGACTTGGCGGTCAACGCCCGTTTGACCGCACAAACGAAGTCCGATTTACGTGAAATTTTATACACATGTACTTCTTGACTTCCTTAATCCAAAAATACCTTTTTGGGTCCTTGGATCATCGTACATAATTAATTATCACATTTTAAATCATCAAGCTTACTTATCATGCTTTTCAACTATATTTTACATATAATCATGGCATAACACATACTTGATTATCTTTGATCATCCAATAAAATATATTATTGATTACTTTAGGTAATCTATGCCTCACTCAAAAGTTATAAAGCATAAGCCGTCTTCTCACAACTATTAATAAGTACTTCATACTTATTAATCGTTTATATATTTCGTTCTAGTTTATTCTTCATAACTAGATTTAATTTAATGACATGTATGGTTAAGTACTTGAATCCTTCAAGAATACCATCTTGAATTACCTTAGTTAAATCATCCATGATTACCCTTCATAAAAAATGTTAATAATTCTTTTACTCATTAATCATGCCATTTTCACATGACTTATAATCATTATAGCTAATCACATGTTTAAACACTTTTAAACATTTTTATACATATTCACATACTAGATTACTCTAGTTATCTCATACATAGTCCATGTATGCATTTTTTATACATTTGACAATAATATATTCATGATTAATCCACAAATAAATCTCTTATTCATTAACCATGTAATATTTCCATAATTCATATTCACCATGACTAATCATGCATTTTAATCCATTTAATCATTTCTCAAATCATAATAAGGATTTTATTTAGGTAATCCCACGTTTGACCCAAGAGTTACAAGACACGTAGTCGTCCACTCACCTTGAAATGACGCTAGCAAGCTTTTATCTTCTTTGTTTGAACTCCGGTGACTTTTGGAATTTTCCGGCGAAACTCCGGCGGCTCCGGCAACTTTCCGGCCACTCCTAGATTCCTCGAGAAGTCTAGAATACCTTGGTAAAATTCCTAACAAGGTTTCACAACCAAAAGTGGTATAAACGTCAAAACCTTCCAAGAAGGTGTTTTCCGGTGAACCGGTCTTACTCCGGTCATAACTCCGTTCGTGGTTAAACTTAACCTTCCAAACCCTCGTTCTACACTTATAGAAGTGTAGAACAAGCTTAAGGGTCCATCATATGATTTATAAAATCATATGAGATTAAATGGAGGATGAAAAATGTTAATGAGATCATTACCTTAATTAATTAAGGTTTTTCTCTTCTTTTCCAAGCTTTTCTTCTTCCTTAAGCCTTCTTCAACCTTGAGCTTGGTTCATGGCTATGGAGGGGAGTAATTGCAGAGCTTCCTTCTCTTTCTTTGGGTGTTTGGTCGAGCTAAAGGTAGGGGAGGGAGTAGGAATTTCTTCCTTTGTCTCATTCAACAAATAAGTGTGGAAAGAGGCCCACAACTTATTTGATTCCATAAACTTCACCTCAACCACCTCTCCTCCAAGTTGTGCAGCTCCCCTTGTCAATTTGATGTCCAAAAAAAAAACGTGGGGTGGCCCCCACTCATGTGGTAGGTCATCCCTATATGTCCCGAAGTGTACATTCGGCCCCGAAAGTTGTATTTTCTGAACTGTTTTAATTATATTTTATTTTATCGGGTTAAGTAAAATATATATCATTCTTCCAATTAATATTGGCCTCTAAAATGAGTATATATTACCCAACTTTAATTTAGTGGTCGCCGAAATTCATTTCGGGCCGTTATCTGTTTAATTGCCTATACCAGTAATGGGACCTCGTTTGATCGAAAGACCAACTTTATGACTCAACATTTATTTACACCCTCATATAACTATTATCTAGACCAAGATGAATATAATATGTGGTCCGTAAATGTCGGATGGTCGCCGCCCACGTGTGGGCCCAACGTGTATTTTACTGTTCAAGTAACAGTAAAAATGAGAACGCGTTGCCTCGAAAATTCACTCGTCATTTCTCATTACTTGATATGTGGTTTCATATTTGGTGACACTTTATTAAAATGTTACACATCTTTTTAAGTGATCCCAAATGTAAAAACAGATAAAATCCTATCTGTTTGTTCCCAAAATACAATATCTTTAAGGTAGGGTCCTCCAAAAGTACCCTCCTTTAATATACCAAGTTAATCAATATTATTCATCCCATTATTTTGGTTTCTTAAAATGTTTATATTTCTTCTGTTATAAATTCATAGTCCTACGAATTATTGACAGTCCGATAATTAAGGACTCCCCACTATCGAATAGTGGCCCTGGCCCGCTCGGCCGTCCAGTTGTCGCTCTTTATAACAATGGGGTCCACGACCCATTCCCACTATCATAATAGTATCATTTTGATAAACATTAATATTTTATAAACTCGAAATATCATGAGTGCTCCCCACGTCTAAATTAATAACCCTTTATTAATTTAAGACAAAATTTTTACTTCCTCATTTATCAAGACTACCCTTAGTCTTGATTTACCTTCTTTAACCAAGTACTTTACGAAAAAAAAATTTATCTGGGTAAAAATTCGGGTCCGGTGTTACAAGTTCACCCCCCCTTACAGGAATTTCGTCCCCGAAATTAGCGTCTTAACCTTGAGAAATACTCCCCCCTTCATTAATTGAAGCTGACCATTTTCAAATCAATTTTTTTTTTTGAAATGAAGGGTTTAAATAAATATTACCTTATGTCATAGTCATTCCCACAAATGGCTTCTGTCATTCATCGCCTTCACGAGCGAGTTCTCCCCCGATTGGTGGATGGTAAAACATTTGAAGCAATCCCTGTTGGGTTTGCAACCTCCGTGACTCCCCTGTGGGCCCCCAAGGCTCCTCCCCGTACACGTTGAGGACAAAGAGCCTTTATGTGGCCCGTTTCTCCACAAAAGTAGCATCTAGATGGTTCTAGACATATCCCGTGGTGCCTCCGCCTACAATTCTCACATTTGGGCGCTCCCGTGCCCCGAGTGCTTGAGCTTTGACTTACCCAGTCCTTGCTCCCTTTTGAAAATGGAACTAACTTGTTAGAGTCCCCCTCTCTTTGAAAGTCATACTTCCTCTCTCGTCGCAGAGGATGATTGATCATCTGATCCCTTTCTTGTGCTTCCTTAGCACCCCTTGCTTGCCTTTCCTCCCAAAGCTCCTCCCCCTGGAGACCCTGGGCTACTACTTGACTAAAAGTCATGTTGAATTGATAGGTCGCCCTTTCGCGTACCTCCAAATTCAGTGCATTCCAAAAATGGTTCGCCATTCGATCCTCATTGGCGGCATATTCAGGCAAGAACCTTGCCAAATGTCGGAACCTTTGTTCCAATTGCTTCACCGTAAACTCATTGCCCTGTTTGAGATTTGTATATTCCCTCCTCTTTCGATTAACTTCGAAAGTGGTATAAAACTGTTCATAGAATGATTGCTCGAAGTTGTCCCACGTGACAACTCCGTCGAACTTACCCTTGATGCCTTCCCACCAAGTAGAAGCTAAACCTTCCAACAATCTAGTGGCTACCCTTCACTTCCGATCAGGGACCACTTGCATGTCATCGGCTGCTTCATTTAACCTTTTTATCCACTCGGCCGCTTCCGAGATATCCCCCGTCCCATCAAACGGTTTGCACCCCAAGGCCCTAGCCTCTTTGAGGTACTTTGAGATCTTAATGAATGGTCCTTCACCATCAGAATCTCTAATTGTCTTAACCTGTACTCTATGAGCATCCCGACCCCTCCTGTGAGAGGTGTCGTCTCTGACATGTCCCACCTGGGATCTCTGTCGTTGCCTTTCCCTTTCCCGCTGGTACCATCGGTACATCTCACTAATCTGATCAGGAGGAATACTGTGCATATCCTCTCCATCGTTTCCTTCAAAAGAAGTTTCTTCAGACTCACTTTCAGGCCGATAAGTTGAGTCATCCTCCGAGTTCCACGACTCGAATTCAGTCACATTGTGATCAGCCATCGCAGCTCGTGTTTGTGGGCCTTGGTTGCCCATACCTCGCCTTTTACGCGACCTTGATATCCCCCAATTGGCTTGCCCGGCTATCCCCGGTCCGCGCCCTCTCGGATTTCCTCGAACCGCCCTATCACTACCACCCATTCCTGAAAGAATATGTTGGAATGAGTCTTTGGACTCGTTTGAATGTCAATTGACAGAAACGTACTCAAGACACCACTTGGCTCAAGTCACTGCCATACCAATTGTTAAGGGGCCCATCTTAACAACCAGAGACCTTGCAACTCGATAACCAAATGCTCTTAAAGTACAAAACTAATGCTCATGGTTTTTCATTGAAAACTGTTTTGATAGAAACTCTGTTGAGAGGTTGACTATATAGTTTAGAAATCGTTTGGCTCTGATACCACTTAATTGTCACGCCCCAGACCGCGTCTGTGCCACGTGGACAACCGTCGTACAACCCAATAAGAATAACTGCAGTTCATCCTTACCGAATTGCACAAGACGTCCGATAGATACATATGCCAAAACCGATTAGTAAACATACATAACAACATCAACATACAATCAAACACATAGCGGAATATAAGGGTTTAATAAGAACCCACACAAGGGTAAAACAAGAGCTCGCAGGCTCCATTAATTTATAAGTCAAAATAGTTCCATGAGCATTATTTAATTATTTAAAAAATGGAACGAGAGGAAGCACGAACCACGTCTTCTCTCCATCGATCTCCCGAGCAACGGGTGCAGGAAGTAAGCTCTAGCTTCAACCTGAAAGGGTGGTTCCCCCGAGGGATCAGTACTACAGAAAAGTACTGGTGAGGGCAAACTGTATGTAATGTAACTAACGTTTCTCACGTGAGACCCTCAAAATAGGGTGATAGTATAATTATGGGCATAACTCTTAGCTACCCCTTTTCAAAACAAAATGTATACATATATACATATGAGTAAAATATCCGGCCCGTGGGCCCATTTGTCTTTCAAATCATTTAGGCATAATAGCCTCATTAAATTCACCCTTCCCATGTCTTACCCTCAAGTGGAGTCACCCGCAGGCTGACTCACCCGATATTAAAATATATCTTCTTGTGGGGGCCCTTCAGACTCCCATATCATTGACATGGTTTAAATCAATCCCTAGACCAAGGAAAATATCCTATCGGAAACTCGTTCCCGATCAAGCACGTTTAATCATTTAAAATCATTACCTTGAGGTTCACCTACCTCGAGGACTATCCGTCCTTACTATCATAGTTTACATTCCCGGGGCTAACCCCGCCTTGAGGAGTACGCATACACCCTCATCCTATGTGTAATTTGCTGGAGGTTATCACACCTCAAGGACTACACGGGCCCTTGTTACCTATGTGCAATTTGATGGAGGATACCACACCTCAAGGACTGCACTTGCCCTTGTTACCTATGTGTAATTTGCTGGAGGATACCACACCTCAAGGACTACACGGGCCCTTGCTACCTATATGCAATTTGATGGAGGATACCACACCTCAAGGACTGCATTTGCCCTTGTTACCTATGTGTAATTTGCTGGAGGATACCACACCTCAAGGACTACACGGGCCCTTGTTACCTATATGCAATTTGATGGAGGATACCACACCTCAAGGACTGCATTTGCCCTTGTTACCTATGTGTAATTTGCTGGAGGATACCACACCTCAAGGACTACACGGGCCCTTGTTACCTATATGCAATTTGATGGAGGATACCACACCTCAAGGACTGCATTTGCCCTTGTTAACTATGTGTAATTTGCTGGAGGTTAACACACCTCAAGGACTACACGGGCCCTTGTTAACATTTGAGTATAGAGGACTCCTCCTGGTCCTACAGAGTTTTACCCAACCTTACTCGGTCCCGGGTATTCACCCGCCATGTATAATCTACCACTTACCTCGCCCGGTCGTGGTCTATAATTTCTTTACTAACGACTAGTCCAAGTCTTAGCGTTTAAACCGTATTTGAAGCCTTAGCAACCAATGTGGACGGGTCCCACCCGATCGGCCCACATAAACTCACTCAAAAACTGCATATTGGGTGTATAACCCAATACCCGGTCGGGTATTACCCATACCCGGTCGGGTATGGTGAGGCAGTAGCCCCTGGAACCATTTCTAATTAATACCCGGTCGGGTATTTACCCATACCCGGTCGGGTATGGTGAGGCAGTAGCCTCTGGAACTGATTTTAGCTAATACCCGGTCGGGTATTTACTTATACCCGGTCGGGTATAGCCTTTGACTTGGCGGTCAACGCCCGTTTGACCGCACAAACGAAGTCCGATTTACGTGAAATTTTATACACATGTACTTCTTGACTTCCTTAATCCAAAAATACCTTTTTGGGTCCTTGGATCATCGTACATAATTAATTATCACATTTTAAATCATCAAGCTTACTTATCATGCTTTTCAACTATATTTTACATATAATCATGGCATAACACATACTTGATTATCTTTGATCATCCAATAAAATATATTATTGATTACTTTAGGTAATCTATGCCTCACTCAAAAGTTATAAAGCATAAGCCGTCTTCTCACAACTATTAATAAGTACTTCATACTTATTAATCGTTTATATATTTCGTTCTAGTTTATTCTTCATAACTAGATTTAATTTAATGACATGTATGGTTAAGTACTTGAATCCTTCAAGAATACCATCTTGAATTACCTTAGTTAAATCATCCATGATTACCCTTCATAAAAAATGTTAATAATTCTTTTACTCATTAATCATGCCATTTTCACATGACTTATAATCATTATAGCTAATCACATGTTTAAACACTTTTAAACATTTTTATACATATTCACATACTAGATTACTCTAGTTATCTCATACATAGTCCATGTATGCATTTTTTATACATTTGACAATAATATATTCATGATTAATCCACAAATAAATCTCTTATTCATTAACCATGTAATATTTCCATAATTCATATTCACCATGACTAATCATGCATTTTAATCCATTTAATCATTTCTCAAATCATAATAAGGATTTTATTTAGGTAATCCCACGTTTGACCCAAGAGTTACAAGACACGTAGTCGTCCACTCACCTTGAAATGACGCTAGCAAGCTTTTATCTTCTTTGTTTGAACTCCGGTGACTTTTGGAATTTTCCGGCGAAACTCCGGCGGCTCCGGCAACTTTCCGGCCACTCCTAGATTCCTCGAGAAGTCTAGAATACCTTGGTAAAATTCCTAACAAGGTTTCACAACCAAAAGTGGTATAAACGTCAAAACCTTCCAAGAAGGTGTTTTCCGGTGAACCGGTCTTACTCCGGTCATAACTCCGTTCGTGGTTAAACTTAACCTTCCAAACCCTCGTTCTACACTTATAGAAGTGTAGAACAAGCTTAAGGGTCCATCATATGATTTATAAAATCATATGAGATTAAATGGAGGATGAAAAATGTTAATGAGATCATTACCTTAATTAATTAAGGTTTTTCTCTTCTTTTCCAAGCTTTTCTTCTTCCTTAAGCCTTCTTCAACCTTGAGCTTGGTTCATGGCTATGGAGGGGAGTAATTGCAGAGCTTCCTTCTCTTTCTTTGGGTGTTTGGTCGAGCTAAAGGTAGGGGAGGGAGTAGGAATTTCTTCCTTTGTCTCATTCAACAAATAAGTGTGGAAAGAGGCCCACAACTTATTTGATTCCATAAACTTCACCTCAACCACCTCTCCTCCAAGTTGTGCAGCTCCCCTTGTCAATTTGATGTCCAAAAAAAAACGTGGGGTGGCCCCCACTCATGTGGTAGGTCATCCCTATATGTCCCGAAGTGTACATTCGGCCCCGAAAGTTGTATTTTCTGAACTGTTTTAATTATATTTTATTTTATCGGGTTAAGTAAAATATATATCATTCTTCCAATTAATATTGGCCTCTAAAATGAGTATATATTACCCAACTTTAATTTAGTGGTCGCCGAAATTCATTTCGGGCCGTTATCTGTTTAATTGCCTATACCAGTAATGGGACCTCGTTTGATCGAAAGACCAACTTTATGACTCAACATTTATTTACACCCTCATATAACTATTATCTAGACCAAGATGAATATAATATGTGGTCCGTAAATGTCGGATGGTCGCCGCCCACGTGTGGGCCCAACGTGTATTTTACTGTTCAAGTAACAGTAAAAATGAGAACGCGTTGCCTCGAAAATTCACTCGTCATTTCTCATTACTTGATATGTGGTTTCATATTTGGTGACACTTTATTAAAATGTTACACATCTTTTTAAGTGATCCCAAATGTAAAAACAGATAAAATCCTATCTGTTTGTTCCCAAAATACAATATCTTTAAGGTAGGGTCCTCCAAAAGTACCCTCCTTTAATATACCAAGTTAATCAATATTATTCATCCCATTATTTTGGTTTCTTAAAATGTTTATATTTCTTCTGTTATAAATTCATAGTCCTACGAATTATTGACAGTCCGATAATTAAGGACTCCCCACTATCGAATAGTGGCCCTGGCCCGCTCGGCCGTCCAGTTGTCGCTCTTTATAACAATGGGGTCCACGACCCATTCCCACTATCATAATAGTATCATTTTGATAAACATTAATATTTTATAAACTCGAAATATCATGAGTGCTCCCCACGTCTAAATTAATAACCCTTTATTAATTTAAGACAAAATTTTTACTTCCTCATTTATCAAGACTACCCTTAGTCTTGATTTACCTTCTTTAACCAAGTACTTTACGAAAAAAAAATTTATCTGGGTAAAAATTCGGGTCCGGTGTTACATGACGGGATGATCCGTCCGGCCGAGCCCTTTTGGGAACCTTCCCGGTGGAATTTTTTGATGAAATTTTTTGAGCATGTTCCTCATCAAGTCTAGTTTGTTCATACCAAATTTCAGCGTAAAATTCGATCGGGCAGACATTCAAATCATTTTTTGAAGTTGACTGCAGTTTTATGTGTATACTTTGACGCAGTCAACTTCAAAAACTGATTTGAATACCTTCCCGATCGAATTTTGAGCTGAAATTTGATATGGACAAACTAGACTGGATAAGGAACATGCTCAATATAGGAGTAAACATAAACATAATTGAACAAATAGGAGTGAACCTTAAAACTTCCTTCAATAGGAGTAAACATAAATTTTGTACCCTTAATACCCCTAACCTAGTTAATTCTAAAATATGACTTATTTGATCCTAATAAAATATAAAAAAATCTAAAATATTTGAAAAAATATATTGAAATAATAAAAATTAATTTTTTTTTAAAAAAAAATTGAAAATAAAAAAATAGATAAACCACATTAAAAAATATAAAAAAAATTATGCAGGCCTTTGCCGCAACCTCGGCCATCACCCAGCAATGTCACCTCCGATCGGCGGAAAAAATGCCATCTTATGTTAAAACTTCCATTTTTCTTTGAAAATGCCATAAAGATGACAATTTTGCTCTTTGAGAATGCCAAATTTTCTAAAAATCTGCCATCATGATGGCATTTCGGAAAAATGTTGGCATTTTTTTGGGTGGTCGGAGTTGGTGGTGCTGGGAGGATGTTGAGGCGGCGGCAGACGCCTACATATTTTTTTTTTATTTTTTTTAATTTTATTTTTTTTGTTTTTTATTTAATATTTTTTATTTCAATAATTTTTATTTTTATTAATTTTATTTAATACAAAGTATGTTTTATTTGATACGGACTATATTTTTATGTTTTTTCATTTTTTTTACAATTTTATTATAAATTAATGTTATTCCTTTTATGTTTTAATTATTAATGAAAGTTGTTGGGACTTGGGTAGGGATATACTAGTCTAAACACTAAAGTTAATCCTATTCAAAACATGGTACTCCTATTTTTGCATTTTGCCTATCTTTTACTCCTATTTGGGGAATTCTCTCTTCATAATAATGTAATAATATCTCCGTCACCTCCGTTTCTGTTTTTGTATCTTGATGTTTGGTAAGATAGTTGAAAAACTAAAATTTGTGATTGAAATTTAATTTTTTTTGCAAATCTTCCTACATATTATAGTATAGCCGTATAGGTTGTATGTTAAGCTATTAAGGCCAAAGAATTTTTTAGATAAATTTTACACACAAATTTTTACATTAAAAATACAAATAATTTTCAGATTTGAGGTGGGCCGGAGATCGTTTGGTCCCTTCTCCCTCCGTTTCTAAATGAATGTCACACTTTGACTTCAAACATATTAATGAAATAAATTTATAAAGGGATAAAATTTATTTTGGAGTACACTTTTTTGACACTGTTTGATATTGTTTTGCAATTTATTTATAAAGTGATTGTGACTTTGTTTTGAAACCTCCAAAAAATGAAAGTGTGACTTTCATTTAGAAAGGTAGGGAGTAGTAAAAATTGGTAGTGTTTGAAAAGAAAATATTTTTACATAAAAAGAAAAGTTGTTTTTTTGGAAGAAAAAAGAAAAGTGGTTTTAAAAGATAAAAGTTACAATATTTTTGAAAAAGTTTTTTTTTATTAATAAAAAAGTGAAAAACATTTCAAAGCATCATTTTTCATGTTTTTAACTTTTCATTTAAAATCGCTTAATAAGAAGTAGAAGTGGGTATTCAAAAACATTAATTTTACCTTTTTCTACCCAAAAAAACACGAAAGTTCTTTATAAGCCCTTGCCAACACTCTATTATTGTTGTTTCATTTGAGATATTACCCAGCCTAAATAGGATTATTATGATTTTATTTAATTTATGCAGGATCGTTACAGTTATGATTGAAAAACATTGTCATTAAGGATAACAAATTCTTTCTGTACTTCTCACTCAGCTTAATAAAACACGGCAGATGTTCCCCGACATTTGCCCCACCGATGGGTGGTTTACCTTCCGGGGTAAAAAAACGAATAACAAATTCTTTCATGTTAATGTGTAGAACTGTAATTATTAAGGAGTATAACAATGACTCCAAGATGCTTGTAAGTATTGCCATAATACTCCTATTTAAAAAAAATACTCCCTCCGTCCCGGAAAATTGTTTCCGATTTACTTTTTGGGCCGTCCCAAAAAATTGTTCCACTTTCCACTTTTGGAAAGTTTTTTGTGGTTACAATTCATTTACCTTTTTCTTATTCAACCACAACATACATTTCCATTTTATTTCCACTTTCTTAAACTCCGTTCCAAGTCAATGCGGGAACAATTTTTCGGGACGGAGAAAGTAATACTCTAATTTAGGAAATTTTCTATCATGCTTTTCTTTTGGCGTTGTACCCAAAAAACATACGGAAGTGCTTCGTACAAAAGTAAAGTTTAGGAATATTTTTTGATCATTCCATCTATGCTTTTTTGGAACACGCGTGCATCGTGTACATGTTAATTTTTGTGAATCTTTGGATGCGATTTGATGGGATTTTCCGATTTGGCCATTCCAATCTTTTGTTTTCTGTAAAAGGATGACACCCTATTCCTGATGATCTAATTAGATTATAATCACAATCTGACAGATAGAGAGTGGAGTTTCGTTCTTGATACTTGCAAACGCTCTCTATTGAGTAACCTCTTATCAAAGTTGTCGGGAGTCGAACCCGGGATTTATCCCTTATGACACTCTCTCGCTACCAGTTGAGCTACCATCTCAGGTTTTCTACAACTTCATGTGTGGTTAACTTTTGTGATAGGGAGGGATTTGGTCATTTTATGATTAATTTAAATACTCTGTAGTTTTCTTGCCTGTGAACATACTATAAGGTGGTACGTACGTTTTGAAATTTGAAAAAAACTTTGAAATTTGCAATATTTTAATTCCTCAAATACGAGTAATTCTACACTACTACGTACATGTTTTGGCGGGTTGAGAAAAGGAACTTTGCAGTATTAGAAATTCTCTTAAATAGGAGTACAAAGTACTAGTACATACGTTTTGAAATTTGAAAAAAACTTGAGTACTAGTACAACATATGATCCTCATATTTTAATTCCTCAAATACGAGTAAAATTTGAAAAAAACTGCCGTGTTTAAACATGACAGATATATATTACTCTCATTTAATGAATAAAAATATGACAATTCTAGTTTAGAATTTTAATTTTTTTTACTCCTATTTAAGGAATTTTCCCTTGCAATATAATAGGGAAATTCCTGAAATAAGAGTAAAAAAGATTGAAAATTCGAAAATAGAATTTTTATATTTTTATTTCCTAAATAGGACTATTTATTGCCAAACTTGGAAAATATTGCCAAATTTAAAGTTTGATACTGCCAAAACATAGCAATAATTACTCATATTTAGAGAATAAAAACATAAAAATCTTATTTCGGAATACACAAGTTTTTAGTCATATTTAGAGCAACTTCCCAATATAATACGTAGGGTTGGTTTGCAACTGCTTTTAAAAAAACACTTCTCAGCTTTTGGCTTTAAAAAAACACTTATTTTCCCAAATACTACAACTTTTATTTTTCTCGGTTTCCGCGTCAAAAGTGCTTTTACTTTTTCTATTACACAAAAAGCACTTATTTTACCAAACACTACTCACTTTTACTTTTCAAAATCACTTTTTTCCCAAACACTATCAACTTTTATTTAATCACTTCTTCCCATTTCATTAAAAAAAGCACTTTTTTAAAAGCAGAAGCTGTTGCAAACATAACTGTA